ATTTCAGCTTGATACTGCCTTGCTTTCCAAGCTACAGAACCAGACCGGATATGAATCTAAAGTCACAGATAAATACACAATTTGGGGACTGGTTTCAATGAATTAGTTCTAAAATTTTTGTTGGAATATTCCTTCAAGTTTTTCAGCTTATAGCATTCTCAATCCACCAATTATAACATGAGTGACAAATAACCACTGCTCATTGCTCAGCATTCGAAAAAATGCTAGTTCATTTTAGGTTAATGGTTTTACATACAGTCAGACCGGAGGCTATATTTCCAAAATTTCAATCCCTCAGTCATTGAAATTCTTGGGTTGAATTACAAAGACCCGTATACACAGGCATAATCTTCCACTAACGCATTTCCACACAAATTATTTATAGACAGATGCATATATACACAATGCATAGATATGTGTGACAGCTCGTCAACTACGTCAGTGCTTCATGCTACTAGTTATGCTTTTTTGCTTATATGCAAAAACATACATTGTGACGGCCCCGGTGTGCGCGTGTATGTGTGCCTGTGTTTGTGTGCGTCTGTCCGGGTATTTCAACTCGGCACCCAAGCAAGCTCCGCCATCAAAATTTTGCGAGTGAGTTCCCCGGCCAAGTGTCACCCCAGGACCGCGGTACCAATCCTCAAGCACGTCTTGGTCCCGCATACGAGCGCCTCAAATTTTTGGCGGGAGAATCGCTAACTTGGGAGCCAGAAAAGCTAGAAAGCTGAAATTTTGAGGTTATGTTCCCCACCCATATAGGACTCAAAGATTTTAAATTCAGCCCCTAGGTGTGCGCGCTTCCCGCATACGGCCCTGTGAAGGTTCCTGGCGCGAAAATCGCTAGCTCGGGAACCAAGGAAGCTGAGAGGCTGAAACTTTCAGGAAATGTTTCCAACTCATCTAAAACTTAAATTTATCAAATTCATCCCTCCGTTATGCATGGTTGCCACGTACGACCCCGTGAAATTTTCTGGCCGCAATTTGGGTAACTCGGGAACTGAGAAAGCTGGGAACCTGGGATTTCAAGGGGATGTTCCCTGTC